GAACAATTTTAGGCTAAAGATTCACTGGGAGACCATGTGACAACATCCAAGAAACTCCACTTAAAGTGCTGCTGATCTGAGGTTCAGCTCTAAGCTGCTCCCTTCAGAGAACTGAATGATCTCATCAGATGTCTCTCATTAGAGCAAGACCTGAACCTCAGTCTTGAGGTTATACTTATACTTTGGGTAAAACTTGTCCACTTATACTTTGGGTAAAACTTGAAAGGTCCTGCTTTACTCCCCTCATGGAAGACAAACCCTTGCAGCAGCCCTGTCCTAACCTGCCTATCACTTCTGTCACTGTAAGACCCCAAATCAGGTAGGTGTTCACACTTTCCACTAAGAACATGCATGCAGTCTGAGAGTCTCCGCCCACACTGTCACAGCAGAAACAAGGGGAGAAAGAACAAAACCAGAGAAGGGTGAGGCAGGAGAATAAGCTACCTGTGAAGAAGGTGTGGTCAGTGGCTGTGATCTGGGGTTAAGACAAATTATCTCCTCAAATCACTTTCTCCATGTTCCACAGGAGTTTTAGCTGGACATACAGTGGTTCAGTAAAGCCTATATGTGGTGTCTCCTTTGTAGCCAAGTGGATAACCAAGTGTTGGCAATGGTATGTACACAGAGGATGTACATCAAGACTATCTTCAAATTAAAGGCAAGCTGCGGGTCATAAATAAGATCTCTTCCTCCTTTTTGCAGGCTGTTAATATAGAAGCAACAGTGGCTGACATTTAACTATTTGGACAAGGACAATGCCCCAAGGAAACTTGGGGAAGTTGGGTCTCACGAGACACAGCTACCCTGCCAGCCTGGATTGGCTGGATTACTTGAAATAGAAATACACTTCTCTCATTAAGATTCCACGTCTATAGGTCTCCTTGTAATACCAGGTTATTAATAATCTCCTCATCATGTGGTCAAGCACTGAACTGAAAAGGAACTTCTGTTTCTATAGATCTGTACCAACTGAATATCAGGTCAAATATTTTACGAAAGGGAAAATTTACTCCTTTTTACTAGCTACCTCATTCTGTAATATGTAGTGAAATGAGATTCAATACACAGAAGTACAAAACAACATGAAATAAACAAGTGAGAAGCATATTCCATACTTACAGATTAGAAAACATTATTATTACAATAGCCAGAGTCCCCCAAACAACCCACAGATTAAACATAATTCATGTCAAAATATTAGCTGCCAGGTGTAGTGGCATCTGCAATCCCAGCACTTGGGATGTGGCGGCAGGAGGATTAAGAGTTCAAAGTTATCATTGACTATACAGCTAATTTAAAGCTAGTCTGAGCTACATGAGACCCTGTCTCAGAAAAAGAAAAAAAAAAAGTCTGTTTTACAGAAATTAATAAAATGATGCTAAAATTTGTAAAGAATTGCAATGGACTCTAGATGATCAAAACAATCTTGAAAAAACAAAATTTGGAGGACTCACATTTCCTAATTTCAAAACTTACTACAAGGCTAATCAATAATCAAGAAAGGGAAAGTACTGGCCTAACAGCAGACACATACACATTAATAGAATAAACTGTGAGTCCAGAGTAAACCCTTACATTTCTGATGAACTGAATTTTGGCAAAGATGATGGAAATTTCAATGGGAAGAAAATAGTCTCTTCAATAAATGATCCTGCTACTGAATAGCCACGCAAAATGTCAAGTTTGACCTCTACCTCACACATTAAAAAAAAAGAAACCAACATGAATGAGAAGCCCAAATGTAAAAGATTATAAAATTCTTAGACGAAAACATATAAATCTTCATGACCTTAGCTGAGGCTATGTGTTTTTAGTATGACAACGAAAGAAAAAATTTTAAACATCTAGGTTTCAACGAACACTATTAAGAATTATCAAAAAATCACAATACAGATGGAAAAATTTGAAAACTATGTATTAATATATATTCAACAATAAGACATAAGTTAATTTTTAACTGGCAAAACGGTTAGGGAGACACACTCCTGGGATGGTAAATAGCCAATGAACACATGAAAGGAGACTCAACATCTGTAGTCTCTGAGGAAATGCAAGTCAAAACTACAGTGAAATACTACTTCATGCTGGCTAGGACGGTGTCATCCAGCCAACAGCAATAGTGTTAAAAGGAAGTAGAGGACTTGGAGTCCTTAGACTAGTGGGAATTTAAATGGAGCTTCTGTGATCAAACTAGTGTGCTGCGTCCTCGAAAAGTCAAATATAGAATTGCGTGACTCCTAGGCACATGCCCAAGAGAACTGAAAACACGTTCAAAAAAAAAAAGTGCATCAATGTCCACAGCAGCCTTATTCATAACACCCCAAAGTAAAAGCCACTGTCAACCACCTAATAAATGACAGATAAGGAAATGTAGCCTGTCCATATCATGGCATACTATAAAGCCATAAAAAGAATGAATTTCTGATTAAGCTACAATATGGATGAAACATTATGCTAAATGTAAGAAACAAGTCACCTAGAGGAACATGTATTGTATGATTCCGCTGATATGAAATGCCATGTAGTCAAAGCCAAAGAGACAGAAAACAAGTCAGTTGCCAGGGAGGGCAGACTGGAGGATGACTGATTAGGGATACGGGGTTTCTTTTAGGAATGATAAAAATGTTTTGGAAACAGATAGTGGTTGTAATGGGTTGTATAATGGCTGAAGGGGATAAGCTGATGTCCAAACAGCTGGGATCTACACTGGATTAGGGAATTCTCTAGGCTCTGCAGGAAAGGGTCCTGATGTGCCTGTTTTCATACTTTGGCCTCCAGAACTATGAACGAATAAACCTCTGGGGTGGTTTTTTTTTTGGTCTTTTTGAGACAGGGTCTCCCTGTAGCCCCAACTCTCCTGGAACTCAACTATGTAGACCAGGCTGGCCTTGAACTCACAAAGATCTACCTGCCTCTGCCTCCCAAATGCTGGGATTAAAGGCGTGCACCACCACGCCTGGCAAACCTCTGTTTCTTTAAACCTCCTGGTGTGTGGAAACCAGCAGCCCCCAAGCACCTGGTAACAGGAGTGACTGATACTTAACCTCATTATTTTTGGTTTCTCTGTTTGAGACAGGGTCTCATGTACCCTATGCGGGCTTCAACTAGCTGAGGATGACCTTGAACATCTGATATTCCTCTATCTCCCTCTCAAGTACTAGAAATACAGGCCCGTACCACCACATCCAACTTACCAGGTGCTGGGGGGGGGGCTGCATCCAGGGTCTCATGCACACTAGGCAAGTACTCTACCGACTGAGCTACGTTCCCAGTCCTGATGTCCAACTTTATAAACAAAATTACATACTTTAGTGAGCGAGCTCTATGACATGTAAGCATTATCTCGATGAAGTTATTTTAAAGAAAACGTGTATACAGAAACACACACAGAGGTGCCCACTCTACGGCATGCTAGGAAGCACTGACCCACAGACCGAAGCACACTGATAACCTCCAGCCCTTTCTTTTCTACATGAAGGTGATGCTGCTGTCCTACTGACATGAGAAAGTACATCTTGTGGTTGCTCATTCTCCCCTACTGGGGACATGATTTTTTTTGGTGTGTTTGTGTGTGTGTGTGTGTGTGTGTGTGTGTGTGCGTCTGTGTGTGTGTGTGTGTGTGTGTCTGTGTGTGTGTGTGTGTGTGTGTCTGTGTGTGTGTGTGTGTGTGTGTCTGTGTGTGTGTGTGTGTGTGTGTGAGAGAGAGAGAGAGAGAGAGAGTCTCCCTGTAGTCCCAGCTGGCCTAGAACTCCCTATGTAGACCAGGCTGGCCTTGATCTCATGGAGATCTTCCTGTCTCTGCCTCCTGAGTGCTGGGATTAAAGGCATGTACCACCAAGCCCAAAGGACATGATTTTTTTAGATCTATGCCCCTGTGACCTCTTAGGCTAACATTTGCTAGTGCAGATAGCTGGCCATTTCTAGTCTGTAACTCCTTAGTGCTTTGCCTGCTGGTGATGGACCAAATTCCTAACAAGCAGACAGGACCATTGGTAAGTAATAAATATGGTACATTTTTGGCTTCTTGGTCTGAGACAAAGCCTAGGGGATCCCCACTGCCCCAAGCAGCAGGACCCCTTTTCCAGCTGACCTGTCCAGATAAGATCAAGGCCAGACCTGGACATATCTCACTCAGCTTGGAGCTGTGCCCTAGGGGCTCTCTCTTCTTTGTTTAAGTTCACCAGTCCTAAATGAGGGGAGGGGAACCTGTCCCACACCAACAAAAACACATAGAATACACAAGCCCTCCTGGGTGCTTCGGATTTTTCAGTTTCCAAGTCCCCCTTCCACATGTGTAGAGCCTTTCTCTCTATGTGAGTTTATGTATACGTTTTTCTTCACTTTGAATAAAATTTGTTACCACTGCTTTCTGCTGTATCTGAGATTTGTTTTTCCCCCTGCCTTTAAATTCTTTAATTGGTGGAGAAAACAAACCTGATCAAGAACCCTAGATAGCAACCCTGGGGGCCCACCTAGCCCCATTTCTAGATCAATGTCCAACACACAGAGCATTGAGTAAAAGATTAACTGGATAACTAGAAAGGGAAATTCCCAAGGAGCCAAAAAAAAAAAAGCAGAAATACTCCTCACTGGCTCAGTAACTTCCAGGGAAGATGCTAGGTTAAGTCCTCCCCAAGTCTAGTGATAATAGCCACAGAAGCCTAGTGCTGTTGTTAAGCTACACAGATGTTGGAAAGACTTTCCAAGTCAAAGGTACAAGTGTGTGGTACCCCTCTGCTGGCCTTCTTGAGGAGCCATCTCCAGCACACAGCAGCTGCACAGATGTGACTCTTGTGACAGTACTAGACAGGTGTTTTTCGGTAGAGGAAAACAGAAAACTGGCCCTTGGCCACACAGGAATCAGCACAAATAGCTGTCAGAGTCACACAGACCTACCTGGGGTCTATATGAGGATTGTATGTAACCTCAATTCCAAGTCCTGAAATGTGTGCAGGAAAAAGCAGACTCTAGAGCAAGGCAGCTGCACCTCTGGTCCTTACCTCCACACGTCGCTGCCTTTGGAAAACATGGACGCGCGAATGACTTCGGGAGCCATCCAAGCATAGGTCCCTGCGGCGCTCATCTTGGTCGTCCGGTGCCATTCCCGAGCCAGGCCAAAGTCAGTGATCTTCAGAATCTTGTTACTCAGGTCTCCATTCTCCACCTTCTGCAGGATCAATACTAAGCAAAGAAGAGGATACAGAAGAAACCAGATCTACATTAATCACAGCATCCCATCCACCTGCCATCTGCAGGCTCCACCCCTCTGCTGCCATGGGACTGACAACAGGAGCCCCATTTCATCAACACCTACAACACAATCATCTCTGCACCACATATTTCTATTGGTGGTACCTCAAATCCCCACAACAGCCTTACAAAGCAGGAATTATAGGTTTAGCATCCCTTATCCAAAAATTGTTTAGAGGTGCTAAACTACTAGTTTATACAGCTATTTCAAAACCTAAAATAACCTCAAATCTGAAACTCTTTTGGTCCCAAGCATTTAGGATGAAGGGTACTCAGTTTGCTTTGCCATTTTTGTTTTATAATTTGGTCAGGGCTGGCTTCCAGGTATTCTGACTCCAGAGCTTGCTCTCTTCACCCACAGTGAAATAGAGCCATGAGTCCCAGGGACCCTTCTGAGCAGCTCCCAGGGCACTGCTGGGTTACAACCACTCATAGATCACAGGGAATAGAGACACATGTGGGATGTTTAAGGTTTCAGATATAGAGTCTGTGACCCCCACCCCCTTACAGGGAGGTCCAACCTTTGAACATTGTGACACTGACATCATCTACAAAGTTGATGTTCAAGAACTGTACAGTTGAGTTTTTAAAAATTGAAAAAAAAATCAATTTTTTTTTTTCTTTTTGAGACAGGGTCTCTCTGTAGCCCCAGCTGTCCTGGAACTCACTATGTAGATCAGGCTGGCCTTGAACCCACAGAGATCCGCCTGCCTCTGCCTCCCAAGTGCTGGGATTAAAGGCGTGCGCCACTATGCTCTGCTAAAAATCAATGTTTAAGTAAGTTTATACTTTTGTGTTGGTCCACATTCATAGCTGCACAGGGGCATGGCTGTACATGCTTGACACCCTTTTTTTTTCTTTTTTCTTTTTGTGGTGGCACATACTTTAATCCCAGCACTCAGGAGGCAGAGACAGACAGATCTCTGCGAGATTGAAATCAGTCTGGTCTACATAGCAAGAAAGCATGTCTACTGGGCTCTAGAGTCTGTGGTATAATCCAGATAGGTCCCCCAACCTGCTGACTGATAAACTGAGGAGGTCAGAGGCACACACGTGCTCACTCCCATGATGCTCTCTGTGAGCATGCTCAGGAAGGAGGAACTGGTGCCGGGATGCAATTTTACGTGGACCATAAGTAATACTAAATTCTAACTCCAAAGTGATGCAGTGTGGGAGCCAGCTTGGCTCTCCTAGGATGGTCCCCAATAAGTGTACCCTGGTGGGAATCAAACTAAAAAAGACCCCCAAACGTGACACAGTGCTGAATGGTAAGCTAAGGCTCTCTGCAGGAATGGGTAGAGTGGGCAGCTAGGGGGACCTCTAGATTTGTGGAGGTCAAGCCCTTGCTTTCCCAAGTGGGATGGTTCGAAGGCTCTATGTGAGCACAGCTCCAGACACAGTCTAGCCTGAAGTTTGTGTGCAGGATTTCAGAGCAAGAAAGTTTCCTTCTAGGGCTGGAGAGATTGCTCAGTGTTTAAGAGCACTGGCTGCTCTTGCACAGGACCTGAGCTCAATTCCCAGCATCCACATGGTGGCTAAGAACCATCTGGAACTCCAGTTGTAAAGGAATCTGACACTCTTTTCTGACCTCCATAGGTTATTACATGACACAGGTGCACTTACAGTACACACAAAATAAAAATAATAAATAAAATATTTTTTAAAAGAAGGGTCCCTTCTCAGCCCTGTGATAAAGAAACCTGCTGATACTGTAACAGATAGAAAAAGGTAGACTCACCTCTGGCTGGGCAAACAGCAAGGAAACCGCCAAGTCAGCACTCAGTCCTGTGTGCCAAGCTAGCCTTGACATTTCCCCCTGTGCGCTGCCTCCTGGGTTGGTCCTCCTACAGGAGGCCCCGCAGGGTGGGTGGCTAAGGCTCCACCTTATAAGCATTTGCACTGGCTGACCCTGACAGTACAGACCATAGCTAAAGGCCAGAATCTAGTATTTTGGGTCAACCTTTCAGGGCAGGGGTGGACAGGTAGGTGCCCCAGGACACAGCCACACAGTTCTTCCCCAGCCACACCTCCCCATTCCATTCACTCAGCTCTCACATATTGAGGGATGTGGGCCAAAGGGCTCCATGTCCTACGTGCTTCTCAGAAAAGCAGCAGCAAAGCAGGGATTACCAGCAAGCTACAGAGCTGGAGGCACAAAAGCAAACAGCCCCACCCTAGACCTCATGGACAAGCCTCCCTCCTCTATACCTTCCCCACTCCAGATACACCCCTCCTCATCCAGGCTTCCCACACTCAAACACTGGAGCAGACAGAAAACAAGAAAGAAGGAAAAAATACTTTCTCCATCTCATCTGGTCACAAAAAAAGAAATCTTTGCAAGCTCCTCAGAGGCACAGACAACAGGAAAGTAGACATTCAAACAGCAGGCAAGTGACACTTAGAAGCCCCATTTCTACTCCAGAGGCACCAGCCACCCACTGTCAGCTGTCTGAGCAGTCATACACAGGAGATTCAGAGGGAGTCCCTCCCTCCTCATACACTCTGTGGGGTCCAGTCCTGTCACCCCAAGTCTCAGGTGGCTAGGATAGGGTGCAGTGGGAAGTGGGAAAATGTTTCATGATATGAGTCTGTCCAGGACTTAAAAGGAATAGAAGAATGACTGATAGAGCAAGAAGCAACCAGAGACAGACTGTCTGCACGGGACTGCCAGGAACAACACTGACCTCATCCCTCCTGTCCCCATTGCCTGATACCCAGCTTTCCTCTTTAGGAATCCATGGCCTCATCAACCAAGAGAGGCTATAATCTGGAACCACTTAGAAATGAGGCAGAGGGTAGGAGGTAATAGTGTTCTGATATAGGAGCTAGAAAGCTGGCTCAGCAGTTAAGACCCTTTGTTGCTTTTGCAAAGGACCCAGGTTCGGTTCCCTCATCCACCTGGTGGCTCACAACCATCTGACACTCCAGTTCTGCCCTCACATGGTGCACACACATATATACAGGCAAATACTCACACACACAAAATAAAAGGAAAATGTAAAAAGTAGTGTTCTGATACGCTAATATCTACCTAGCACCAAAACTTATAAGAGCTTTATTTTTTATTGCTTTTGCTAGACACTTCTTAAGTGAAGTGAAATCTAAAACCTAACATTAAGCATCTTGCAGTAACAATCCAGTGGCTACGTGTAACACATTTACGGCATTGTACAGACACCACCTCTACCTAATTTTAAAAAATTTCCATCACCCAAAGGAAGCCCTGTAACTAACTAATCATTCCCCATTTGCCCCCTTCACAGGCCCCCCAAACCACCAATCTGTTTTGTCCCTGTGAATTTACCTATTGTGAATATTTCACATAAATAGAATAATACAATATATGTCTTATTTTACTTAGTATTTTCAAGGTTTACCACATTACAGCTTTTTTTTGTTTGTTATATTTTTGGTGTTTTTTATTTATTTATTTATTTTTACAATTAAAGTTACAGTTTTAACAATATACAAAATATTAAAGTAATTCAGATTTTTTGGCATAATGATTACAGATTTGATAAATACATTTTATATCTCATAATAGAGATGAAGATTATACAAAAGCTATTAAAACAATTATGAGAATAAATTCTATCGT